GAACATTGAATGCATTGAACTCCTATATCGAATGTGTCAATGCCTTCGCTGTGATTTTTGCCGATCCACAATGGGAGGGTTACAAATTCCACTCCCTACTGCGCTCAGATTAGGCAAGTTCAGTGCTGAGACAAACGTAAATTTTCCAGCCCCTCCCTTTAATCACATCTCTGGAATCTGCAAAAATCTAGCAGACACATGACCAGCTGCAACCAGGGTACTTTCTCAAGGTAGAGAGAGGACCCTGGGAACGAGGTTGCTCAGTCTTGCATCGAAACGTTGGTTAACAATACTTTTAATCTTTCTTGTCAAATTCTTTAACAAGCAACTTGTTATTCGATCTCATAATGTATTTACCCAGGATTTTCGTGACTTTTTTTCCTGCTTAAACAGTACTGATCAAGATCCTGTGTACATACAACCACATTTACAATTTTACAAAAACATAAGTAGGAGCTGTGATTAATGGCAAATTTCCATTGGAAAGCAGACCATTATGCAATGTACATGTAATGCAGCTGTCTTCTCAAATTGTATGGTGTGGTGGCTCACAACTGCAAGGGCTTAAATTAATTCCGGTTTCCAGCTGTATGGTAAAGGATTGGATTGTTAGTACTCCCCCTGGATGAGATACTAGTCAAGCATAGTTATCCAATGGTATTTGGTTTTATATGTACCATTATTTATTTTTTTCAACTTCACCTAACTAAAATACTTAGATACTGGTACATAAAATGTTTACTAGGCAGGGAAGACCACTACAGCCTAGCCAACTACACAGTGGATCCTTCATTAATAAGAATTAAACTAAAGCTACTCATTTATAAACAAGAAAAATTAAAAGGAAACAAAACAGAAATTCAAATGTACCAAGGTACCATTAGCCTTCAGGATACAACACAACAGTAGAAACCAGCAGAACCAACACCAAAATACCTCATCACTCTTTCCAGTCACAAATTACACAGACAATCCAGTGAACTGACCAAGACTCAAAAGAAATACATGTTGCTGACATGAAGTGCAGAGACTTGTGCTAGCAAGTCATGATTCATTTTGGTTTAATTTCTGATTTGGATGACACAGTGATACAAGTTTTTTAAGACATTAGTGCCTATAAGCCAATTGCATAGCATATGCAAAGCCAAACCAAATGCAAATCAAGGCTGTTGTCTAAGAAAAAAATATTAATTACCAGGAGCCCAATTAGGTTCCTAACCATGAAAGCACTTGAGCTTATATGAAAAACAGTAAGTTTGGTCACTAAAAGGCAAAAGGTAGTCACCTGTGGCACCCAGGCACTCCTAGAGCACAGCCCTGAACATGTTCACTTTTGACCCTCAGCCAGGCCCTCCTAGAGCACAGCCCTGTGAATATTTACTTTCAACCTTTGAATGAAAACCAAGAAAAGAAGTCTATATCTCTGTATTATGTTGAATAACATTATTTCCCATCACCTGATCTCCTTTTCTTAGTCCAAAGGTATGCACCCTGACAGTTTTTACACACTGGAGTTACTGGAGAAGACTGGACTTTGTGTTGTACCAGGAAATGGGTTTGGACAGAGGGATGGAACTTTCCACTTTAGGTAAGGCATTCAAGTGATACTCTATTCAAGCCAACACTTCAGAACTTGGAACGCTTGGAAATCTTTATCTGTGTGTTGTTATTTGTAGAGGGGGGTCACTTTGAGAAGTAATAGGTATATCAAACAAGAGAGATGTAGTATTTTACCATAAATATTTATGTTTCTTGCTCTGTTCATTTTGCAGGCTGACAATTTTACCTCCCATTGATGCCCTAAAACCTCTATTTGAACGTTTTAAAGTCTTCCATCAAGATTTTATGCGCAAGTACCGTGATCCCAGCTCCACTCTTTAAATTTGAATGTTTCTGTGTTCTACCAATTGTAATCATTTGTGTGGAAGAGGTGAAACTGTATTTGCATCAAGGATTAGAATCCGTTTACTGGAATTTGATCAAGCAAGCTGTATTTTGCCAGCATGGGTATTTAGTAGAGTGCAAGCAGTTGAACAAGAAGTTAAAAAGGCAAGAGAGGGAGATGGTGTTTTGCCATTTTTGCCTCCCATGATCTGCTGAAGGGAGTGCACACTCACAACCTAGAGCCAGGATCACCTACAGATCAATGGATTTGATGGACATTGGTTAACAATAATATATCACATTTTCAATACACAGTCTGATTGTTACAGGGTAAACCACCCTGGGTGGGGGGGGGGGGGGACTCCCTTATTTGGTCTATACGGGGACATGCCACTAGACAGGGTATGGTTTTTTGGCCTCGCTGTCCTGAACAGGGTATACAATTTTAATTACTAGCCTCTGTCCTAAACACGGTCAGAACTTGTCCTTAACAGGGTATTGTATTACAAGCCGAGAGACGTTAACCGGCCATTACAAGGTCATCAATCAACATCAGATCATTTTCTGGACAAGAATGCTATTGTTGTCGGTAAAATTTTTTTTCCACTTTTCATTACTATATTTAGTGGGCATTTCTTTGTGTTTCTCTGTCCTACACGGGGTAGGGTTTTAGAGTATTTTGTCTTAAACAGGGTCAGGATTTCAAACCCTCGACAACACTCCTATACCCAAACATGCGTCAAGTACCCCCCTTCCCCCCCCCCCTCCAGGGTAAACCAGTCCTGTACAGTCAAATCTCTGCTTTAAGACAGTTTTCACCCAAGCCACCCACTAGATTGGACAGTCTGAAACACACACTGTAAGGCACTACCTTAAAAGAGATTGGCAGGGCAAGAGTGTTCAAATATTACCTGACTACACTACGCAATATGCAAAATGCTTGTGTGTAATAATTTAACATATTTTCTTTCTGTTGGATGGACACAAGCAACTATGTACGTTATAAAATTAGCATAATATTATTTGTTCCTTACCTGACAATCTCTATTTGACTCTAAGCAATAAAGAAAATCTAACTTTCAATTTTATTATTTTTCTGTCAAAGCAGATTCGTAGTAAATCACTTTCATATTCACATGATAATGAACATGGTAAAGGTCAGAGATGCTGGGTGTTACTCACAAAACATGAAAATAAAGTAACAATCCAAGACTGAAATTTTTTGCTTTTAAAACTAAAATGTTTGTCTACTGCAAAAGAGAGGCAGAAGGCATCTTTTACAATTTTTGGCTAGAAAACAGTTTGTGAACTGTAACTTGTGGAGATGGTGTTATCGAATATCTTGGCGTACAAATCAAGTTAAGCAATAAAATAGTTAATTAAGTTGGTATCTGAAGGAGAGACCGTTGAATGAAAATTTAATTTCCACAAAAAGAGGGCATGCAAATGACATCTTCATTTCGTTTTAGCTGAAAAGCTTTACACCAAAGTGCTATTTTTTTTATAATGAACTGTCTCCTAAAGGAGTAATTATTTATACGAGTGAAGAAATAAAATGGATTTCGTCAAGAAATTTGACTGTATAATTTGTTCATCTTTGTAACTAGCCAGCATTTTGGACCCCATTTTGGGCAGAGCCTCCCTGTATAATCTGTTGTAGGGAATACCCCATGGAGGCATTGAGTATAGCTTCCCATGATCTATTTCTTAGTGAACGTCAACAACAGTCCTGTTGTATAAATCTGTGCACCTCACGAAGACATTTCCTGCAAACAACAAAGGTCTGGAATGCTTTACAATAACACTCTTGTGGGTCCTGAATATCCACTTGCATAATTATCACAGGCCCAGGAGGGGGACTCCCTGCATATCAGAAGGTCCAGGATGCTCGTCAGAAAATTCAAATTAAACCTTAAAGGAGACTGATCTGGGCGTGGCTCAAGCTTTTGTTTATTTGATCCCTAAAAGATACCACTTAAAATGGAATAAATGCAATTACTGACTGTTCTTCAAGAGAGGAGCCCACACTAGTAAACAGGACTCCAGACAGGAGCAGAAATCAAGCCTAAAACTGCCCAAGCCTAATTTTTTTGAGTACACCCTAACAAGATACTTCGCTATAACCAGCAAACTGATAAAAACCTGACCTCTACTATGTACAATACAATTTACCATCTGTGATAGTGTATGACGTTTACAGTTTAAGTGGCATTTGTTGCCATAATTTTATCAATGGGATTGCTGGTTCTTGGAAGACTCCAGAATTGATTTCTCTTCTGAAGCATAATGGCAATGGATTTTGTCAGTTTTTCATGAGAAGAATGCATTGACATCCATTAATGTCTATTTAAGAAATAGAAAACAAGTACCGTGTTTCTATGGAGTTATAGAAACACGAGTGGAAGTTTGGGAGAACAAGAAATGCTGTGGGAACACGAATCAATAGGCAAGTGTTTCCACAGCTTTTGCGAGTTCTCCAAAACTTTCACAAGTGTTAAAACTTGATAGAAACACGGAAAACAATGTTTTCTATTTCATTTAGAGAATTCCGCAACGAAAAAAGACAACTTGTTTACTATGATCATCAAAACGTAAGTTATCTTTGCTTGGGCCATCATTACGTCAACAGCTTGTGCTAGTTCTGTGTTTCTATCTTGTCATAGAAACACAATTTTAACACAATCTGCAGGTATTTTCATTGGGCTTTTTTCTAAAAACAGTTAAAGTGCAAAAACATAGATAGTAAACAACTTGTAGACATACTAAAATTAATGGGTCAGTTTGATCCAAAGAAGACTTCACGTAGAGCTTTAAAAGTGGCCTCATATCTGCCACATCCAATATGGACACCTCTCTAATACAAACACTCTGTTTGGCCCAGCTGATGTCTACATTAGATCTAAGTTTGATTGTAGCTTTGTCAAACATACATGTACATGTAGGAGCACATTAATCCTGAAGTGTGAAGGGTGAGTTGTAATGACAAAGACTTGGTTAACATGACAAACCAGGCTTACCTCCGTTGACTTGTAAACTTTATTCTTTTTAAATTTCCACACTACAAGTAGCTGGAAACCTTAATATCAAAAAAATATTTTACAATGCACTTTTATCAATCAATAAAATATCAATTTATTATTAATAGCAAATGTAAACTAGAGAGACAAAAATAGTTATACATGTAGATGAGTACTTTTACATATACACTGTAGAACCTTAACTGGCTTACAGATTACAACAATGTAACTTTGCTCACATTAAAACCAATCAATATTTACAAGTTACAAAAATTAATTATATAACCCTGTAGCTGAGAAGATACTACCACCCTTACCTTTAAGGTCGGCAGACAGGAGGGGACTAGTCCATACAACTAGTCCCTGCAACAAGTCACAGGGACAAGTCCCATCATGTGAACTGACCATTTTTGCTTCAAAATCTAGTCACAGGGACCAAAGTTTGGTCCCTGCGACTAGTCCCACGAATTCAAACCATTTTGAATTTTTGGGACAAGACCCTGCCATTTGTTCCTCAAAACGCTTCGTGTGAACTGTTTGTGGGACAAGTCCCTGCAACCAGTCCCTTCGTGTAAACTCTTCACGGGACTAGATGCAGGGACCAGTCCCCTCGTGTGTACCAACCTTTAAAATACAACATTTATCAATTTCTAAATACCAAAATGGCAAAAAAGAACCAACAGCTAGAGTTTTCCTACTTAGGACCACATTGCTAGCTACTGCAGTGCTGATCAGAATTAACATTGCTGCAATGATAGCAGCACCCTTCTCTCTAGTTAGGCTTATCATAGTATCATTGTTCAACAGATCTGGGAGGGGAGGGTGGGGAGCCGGCCTCCACCCCTACTTGTTTTCCTAATGCTACACAAAGTATGTGACTGTTGTTCAAAAATAACTTACAAACAAGCTTGTAATATTAAGCCCATTAGCAGTAAAACAAATAAATACTTCTGTTGAGGTTCAGTATCAAATTAAATTCGTGATAAAAAAAATTCCTTTGGAATCATCATATAATGAACAAAAAATTAAAATATAATATTTGCTGAAAAGTAAACAAATATCTAGATTTTAAAATAATTACTGTTAGTAGGACTTATAACCTATAAACTGTATTTTCTTATTTTATACAAACTTCATACATGACTGAGACATCATCTTTTGGTTAATATCCATCAAAATTAGTGAGTACATCTCGGCTTTTTCTCGTGATATGTGTGGCATGACATCTACAGGTTCCCTGTTATCAGACCCACTTGACGTTTGGTCATCCCCATCGGCATCTTTCTTTACTGATTTGTTTGGAGAAAGAAGGGACTGTGGTTTTGGCTTATTCTTGGAGCCCTTTGGGCGACCTCTCTTTCGCTTTATTGGCAGACCATCTTCATCTAGTTGTACTGGCTGTAAAGAAGTGAAGGGCATTATGAGGGTTCATATTTATTTACAATTTACCAGATAGAAAATGGTGTTCCATGTTCTCTTTAAAAAACAAAAACGTTTTGTGTTTCTATCGAGTTTTAGTATAAGTCTACTAGCATTCTATCATGAATGGCATTCTCTGATTGGTTACACTACTCACTATCTATTCTGTTGCAGATAGTGTTGCAGTGAGCACTTGTTTAAAAACTGGTAGCTCCTTTGCATTTTTGAAGAGTCTGTGAAGAGGATATTTTAGATAAAGTTTTGAATGACTCGTAGATTTATACAAAACAATTAGATTACTTGCTCTTGATTTCCATGCATGATAGATGACTCGGGCTGCACCCTCATCAACTCGTAATCTAATTGTTAAATAGGAACACAAGTGGAAGTTTGGGAGAATGAGGAAGTGTGGTGACAACATGAGCTGATAGGTGAAAGTAGGTTCCTAACGATTGATATTAATTTTATTAAAACACTTTTTGGAAAATCCACAAGTTTAGCAAAGCTGCATGTAAATTATCGGGCAGCTACACATGATGTAAAACAAACTGCAAAAAATTAAAGCTTTAAGTTAAAATTAAAATTGTGTGATGATCATTACCTGAGGTTGTGGAGGAATTATTTCTCCTGTGATGGAATCGGTTTTGACTTTGTTCTTTGATCCTTTGGGCCGGCCACGTTTTTTAGGAACAACCACACCATCTAACGAATGAGGAAGCTACAGATAGAAAGAAAAGAAAGATGCCTTTGAATTTCTTTTGTTTCCAACCAAGGTTAATCTGTTTCAATCTGAGGATAGCAATCTGACTTGTGACTTATAGTGGTCACATAAAATCCAACTGAAATCATTTCTGGATTGACCTGCCATTATACATTTTTAAATGATTATGATAATTGAGTCACAAAAACACAATTTATTCAGACAATGAATAATAATTATGAAAGAAGCTTTACAGCTAAACTGTAAAGGGTAGTTAAGGATCATGATGAATGCAGGCCTGTGTTGGGGAGTTCACATTTTCATGTTCACTTATAACAACAGAACAGACATCTGTCTAACAGAAACTATAAAAGCTCTCACTAGTTTAAGATTAAGTCTCTTGTGTGATGTGCATTGGTTACTGAAAGTCTATGTAACTGAAGTCTATATAACTGAAAGTATATAAAAATAGTTAGAGAAGATTGAGTAAAGTTTGTCGTGAAGCCTACTGGCCTATCAGGTCTAGGTAGTCTGTTGCAAGAAGTGTCAAGAAATATTTCTACTCCCCACTGGATAGGATACTAGTCTATGCATCATTAGCCTACAGGTACCCATTTATACACCTGGGTGGAGAGAAGTACACTGTCATAGTAGAGTGTCCTGCTGCAGATCACAACACAATTCAGAGTCAAGTGCACTAACCATATAAGAAATTTAATATGTCATGTACGTAGCCATTACCTGTGATATTGGCCCCTCCTGCAGTTTCTCAATTCTGACGGGTTCTTGATTGGATAAAGGAAATGGTATCTGCTCTTTATTGACCCAAACAAGGTTTTCAGGGAATTCGTAGTCAAAATCTGGGTTTTCTTTCTTTGGACGCTCAGGACGAAGTCTTTTATCCCGCTCTGAACCATTTAAACTGTCTCCTGTAAAAAAAGAAGTCAAAGTGGTCCATCTTCACAGTCCATGCTGCAAGATTTGGATCACTCAGGAAACAATTCATTGCCATATAATAAATATTAATATGTTATGTGTCACAAAGATAACCTTCACTTGGATGTGCTATATTGATGATATCCTTTTCAAGACCATTATTAATACCGTTTTAGAGAAATAAGTGTAAGGGAGAAGATAAATAAATTGTTGCATCTTCTCAACAAAATATCAAAAGGTTGCATGCTAACTAGTGATCCTGCTAACTTCTTTGCACTTGTTACATAAGCCAAGTTGAGTGCTCGTCTTTGTGCAACCAGGCAAAAGGAATAGTTTTAATTATCTGCTTTCAAATAATTCAGCATTGGCCATTGGCTAATTTGGCATTGGCCAACAAGAATACTTCTTCTACGTTATTCTCACTAAATTTCACAAGTATTTAATTTCGCAAAAAGTCAAGCGCTATATTTTTCAAGTATTAAATTTCTTGATTTTGAGAGGAAATTAGAATTGGAGTGTATTAACTTCCTCAATTTTTTTCCATTCTTTAATATGTAGCTTTAATTGCCCTCAGAACTGTAACAACATAATTAATATGATCATCATAGTAAACAATAGCAAACGTAACAAAGTTTGACTGACAACTGCACCAGCCAGATTTGAAGAACTTAGCGGCAGAGAACAGTTCTGACAGTGAGAGTGATGCAGTGGAAGATAACTGATGGACAAAATCAAACAAAAATCTCCCAAACATGAAGCCCCGACATGTTGGAATAACAGTAATAAAACAACAGCTTGAAGATTTATTAATTGATATTACATAGGTGTTAAATTTTGAGATTTTAATCTTCACGTGTCCATTATTTTGCCAGTATAAAATTTCACGATTTTTTAAAAATCATGAAAATCCTGAAATTTAGCACTCATGAAATTTAGTGAGAAGAAGGTATATAACAAATCATATTTTGTGGGTTTTCAAACTGAATTGAAATTACTCCATATAGTTTTTTCTTTATATATCCAAGAAATTTAATTCAAATCTTTAAACTTGATAATGAAATAAATGAACCAAGAAATTTAACTAAATTAAATTAATGTGGTTACCCTCTTTTTTGACTTGCGCCTGATGATGCTGTTTTCGGCTGATAAAAACATGGCCACAGGGACATGATTTGCATGCTACAGGGAGCTGAATCAAACAAAACAAATCAAACAAGCTATAGTATCACCAGGGCATCAATGAAATCAAGGGAAGAAGTAGCCTGCAGAACAGGCGTGATTTTTTTGCATATTTTAGGCGAACAAAGGGGAAAACAAGGTGAGTGCAAAGCGCGAGTCGTGCGCGAGGTGAAGAGCTCTTCCCCTCGCTTGCCTTGTTTTCATCTTTGTTCACCCAAAATATGCAAAAAACCACGCCTGTTCTGCAGGCTAGGGAAGAAGAAGAAGGGGTGGAGTAGGAAAAGATAATAATGACAAGCAAAATCAGTACTACACAAGATTTTGTAAATCAAAATAACTTTTGGCAGGCCTTAGTCACTTACTGATCATGCATTGTGTTGTTCCAGAAAATATCCATACCCCTCCCCATAGAGGTTTATCTGGTCTGACCCCTGTTCCTACCACTCAAAAACTTCCAGTCTAGCTTCATATATATACTCCTCTAAAATATGCAGCTTTTGAGTCTCCCCACCCCTCTCAGAATCATCATCATCATTATCATCATCATCATCATCACTTTATTTAAGTGTCCATGTATTTAGCACTAATGTGCTAATTGGGGACACTGTAAATAAATAGACAAATATTTCAAATATAACATAAACTATTAAGAATCCCAACTGGTNTAAAAGAGATTGGCAGGGCAAGAGTGTTCAAATATTACCTGACTACACTACGCAATATGCAAAATGCTTGTGTGTAATAATTTAACATATTTTCTTTCTGTTGGATGGACACAAGCAACTATGTACGTTATAAAATTAGCATAATATTATTTGTTCCTTACCTGACAATCTCTATTTGACTCTAAGCAATAAAGAAAATCTAACTTTCAATTTTATTATTTTTCTGTCAAAGCAGATTCGTAGTAAATCACTTTCATATTCACATGATAATGAACATGGTAAAGGTCAGAGATGCTGGGTGTTACTCACAAAACATGAAAATAAAGTAACAATCCAAGACTGAAATTTTTTGCTTTTAAAACTAAAATGTTTGTCTACTGCAAAAGAGAGGCAGAAGGCATCTTTTACAATTTTTGGCTAGAAAACAGTTTGTGAACTGTAACTTGTGGAGATGGTGTTATCGAATATCTTGGCGTACAAATCAAGTTAAGCAATAAAATAGTTAATTAAGTTGGTATCTGAAGGAGAGACCGTTGAATGAAAATTTAATTTCCACAAAAAGAGGGCATGCAAATGACATCTTCATTTCGTTTTAGCTGAAAAGCTTTACACCAAAGTGCTATTTTTTTTATAATGAACTGTCTCCTAAAGGAGTAATTATTTATACGAGTGAAGAAATAAAATGGATTTCGTCAAGAAATTTGACTGTATAATTTGTTCATCTTTGTAACTAGCCAGCATTTTGGACCCCATTTTGGGCAGAGCCTCCCTGTATAATCTGTTGTAGGGAATACCCCATGGAGGCATTGAGTATAGCTTCCCATGATCTATTTCTTAGTGAACGTCAACAACAGTCCTGTTGTATAAATCTGTGCACCTCACGAAGACATTTCCTGCAAACAACAAAGGTCTGGAATGCTTTACAATAACACTCTTGTGGGTCCTGAATATCCACTTGCATAATTATCACAGGCCCAGGAGGGGGACTCCCTGCATATCAGAAGGTCCAGGATGCTCGTCAGAAAATTCAAATTAAACCTTAAAGGAGACTGATCTGGGCGTGGCTCAAGCTTTTGTTTATTTGATCCCTAAAAGATACCACTTAAAATGGAATAAATGCAATTACTGACTGTTCTTCAAGAGAGGAGCCCACACTAGTAAACAGGACTCCAGACAGGAGCAGAAATCAAGCCTAAAACTGCCCAAGCCTAATTTTTTTGAGTACACCCTAACAAGATACTTCGCTATAACCAGCAAACTGATAAAAACCTGACCTCTACTATGTACAATACAATTTACCATCTGTGATAGTGTATGACGTTTACAGTTTAAGTGGCATTTGTTGCCATAATTTTATCAATGGGATTGCTGGTTCTTGGAAGACTCCAGAATTGATTTCTCTTCTGAAGCATAATGGCAATGGATTTTGTCAGTTTTTCATGAGAAGAATGCATTGACATCCATTAATGTCTATTTAAGAAATAGAAAACAAGTACCGTGTTTCTATGGAGTTATAGAAACACGAGTGGAAGTTTGGGAGAACAAGAAATGCTGTGGGAACACGAATCAATAGGCAAGTGTTTCCACAGCTTTTGCGAGTTCTCCAAAACTTTCACAAGTGTTAAAACTTGATAGAAACACGGAAAACAATGTTTTCTATTTCATTTAGAGAATTCCGCAACGAAAAAAGACAACTTGTTTACTATGATCATCAAAACGTAAGTTATCTTTGCTTGGGCCATCATTACGTCAACAGCTTGTGCTAGTTCTGTGTTTCTATCTTGTCATAGAAACACAATTTTAACACAATCTGCAGGTATTTTCATTGGGCTTTTTTCTAAAAACAGTTAAAGTGCAAAAACATAGATAGTAAACAACTTGTAGACATACTAAAATTAATGGGTCAGTTTGATCCAAAGAAGACTTCACGTAGAGCTTTAAAAGTGGCCTCATATCTGCCACATCCAATATGGACACCTCTCTAATACAAACACTCTGTTTGGCCCAGCTGATGTCTACATTAGATCTAAGTTTGATTGTAGCTTTGTCAAACATACATGTACATGTAGGAGCACATTAATCCTGAAGTGTGAAGGGTGAGTTGTAATGACAAAGACTTGGTTAACATGACAAACCAGGCTTACCTCCGTTGACTTGTAAACTTTATTCTTTTTAAATTTCCACACTACAAGTAGCTGGAAACCTTAATATCAAAAAAATATTTTACAATGCACTTTTATCAATCAATAAAATATCAATTTATTATTAATAGCAAATGTAAACTAGAGAGACAAAAATAGTTATACATGTAGATGAGTACTTTTACATATACACTGTAGAACCTTAACTGGCTTACAGATTACAACAATGTAACTTTGCTCACATTAAAACCAATCAATATTTACAAGTTACAAAAATTAATTATATAACCCTGTAGCTGAGAAGATACTACCACCCTTACCTTTAAGGTCGGCAGACAGGAGGGGACTAGTCCATACAACTAGTCCCTGCAACAAGTCACAGGGACAAGTCCCATCATGTGAACTGACCATTTTTGCTTCAAAATCTAGTCACAGGGACCAAAGTTTGGTCCCTGCGACTAGTCCCACGAATTCAAACCATTTTGAATTTTTGGGACAAGACCCTGCCATTTGTTCCTCAAAACGCTTCGTGTGAACTGTTTGTGGGACAAGTCCCTGCAACCAGTCCCTTCGTGTAAACTCTTCACGGGACTAGATGCAGGGACCAGTCCCCTCGTGTGTACCAACCTTTAAAATACAACATTTATCAATTTCTAAATACCAAAATGGCAAAAAAGAACCAACAGCTAGAGTTTTCCTACTTAGGACCACATTGCTAGCTACTGCAGTGCTGATCAGAATTAACATTGCTGCAATGATAGCAGCACCCTTCTCTCTAGTTAGGCTTATCATAGTATCATTGTTCAACAGATCTGGGAGGGGAGGGTGGGGAGCCGGCCTCCACCCCTACTTGTTTTCCTAATGCTACACAAAGTATGTGACTGTTGTTCAAAAATAACTTACAAACAAGCTTGTAATATTAAGCCCATTAGCAGTAAAACAAATAAATACTTCTGTTGAGGTTCAGTATCAAATTAAATTCGTGATAAAAAAAATTCCTTTGGAATCATCATATAATGAACAAAAAATTAAAATATAATATTTGCTGAAAAGTAAACAAATATCTAGATTTTAAAATAATTACTGTTAGTAGGACTTATAACCTATAAACTGTATTTTCTTATTTTATACAAACTTCATACATGACTGAGACATCATCTTTTGGTTAATATCCATCAAAATTAGTGAGTACATCTCGGCTTTTTCTCGTGATATGTGTGGCATGACATCTACAGGTTCCCTGTTATCAGACCCACTTGACGTTTGGTCATCCCCATCGGCATCTTTCTTTACTGATTTGTTTGGAGAAAGAAGGGACTGTGGTTTTGGCTTATTCTTGGAGCCCTTTGGGCGACCTCTCTTTCGCTTTATTGGCAGACCATCTTCATCTAGTTGTACTGGCTGTAAAGAAGTGAAGGGCATTATGAGGGTTCATATTTATTTACAATTTACCAGATAGAAAATGGTGTTCCATGTTCTCTTTAAAAAACAAAAACGTTTTGTGTTTCTATCGAGTTTTAGTATAAGTCTACTAGCATTCTATCATGAATGGCATTCTCTGATTGGTTACACTACTCACTATCTATTCTGTTGCAGATAGTGTTGCAGTGAGCACTTGTTTAAAAACTGGTAGCTCCTTTGCATTTTTGAAGAGTCTGTGAAGAGGATATTTTAGATAAAGTTTTGAATGACTCGTAGATTTATACAAAACAATTAGATTACTTGCTCTTGATTTCCATGCATGATAGATGACTCGGGCTGCACCCTCATCAACTCGTAATCTAATTGTTAAATAGGAACACAAGTGGAAGTTTGGGAGAATGAGGAAGTGTGGTGACAACATGAGCTGATAGGTGAAAGTAGGTTCCTAACGATTGATATTAATTTTATTAAAACACTTTTTGGAAAATCCACAAGTTTAGCAAAGCTGCATGTAAATTATCGGGCAGCTACACATGATGTAAAACAAACTGCAAAAAATTAAAGCTTTAAGTTAAAATTAAAATTGTGTGATGATCATTACCTGAGGTTGTGGAGGAATTATTTCTCCTGTGATGGAATCGGTTTTGACTTTGTTCTTTGATCCTTTGGGCCGGCCACGTTTTTTAGGAACAACCACACCATCTAACGAATGAGGAAGCTACAGATAGAAAGAAAAGAAAGATGCCTTTGAATTTCTTTTGTTTCCAACCAAGGTTAATCTGTTTCAATCTGAGGATAGCAATCTGACTTGTGACTTATAGTGGTCACATAAAATCCAACTGAAATCATTTCTGGATTGACCTGCCATTATACATTTTTAAATGATTATGATAATTGAGTCACAAAAACACAATTTATTCAGACAATGAATAATAATTATGAAAGAAGCTTTACAGCTAAACTGTAAAGGGTAGTTAAGGATCATGATGAATGCAGGCCTGTGTTGGGGAGTTCACATTTTCATGTTCACTTATAACAACAGAACAGACATCTGTCTAACAGAAACTATAAAAGCTCTCACTAGTTTAAGATTAAGTCTCTTGTGTGATGTGCATTGGTTACTGAAAGTCTATGTAACTGAAGTCTATATAACTGAAAGTATATAAAAATAGTTAGAGAAGATTGAGTAAAGTTTGTCGTGAAGCCTACTGGCCTATCAGGTCTAGGTAGTCTGTTGCAAGAAGTGTCAAGAAATATTTCTACTCCCCACTGGATAGGATACTAGTCTATGCATCATTAGCCTACAGGTACCCATTTATACACCTGGGTGGAGAGAAGTACACTGTCATAGTAGAGTGTCCTGCTGCAGATCACAACACAATTCAGAGTCAAGTGCACTAACCATATAAGAAATTTAATATGTCATGTACGTAGCCATTACCTGTGATATTGGCCCCTCCTGCAGTTTCTCAATTCTGACGGGTTCTTGATTGGATAAAGGAAATGGTATCTGCTCTTTATTGACCCAAACAAGGTTTTCAGGGAATTCGTAGTCAAAATCTGGGTTTTCTTTCTTTGGACGCTCAGGACGAAGTCTTTTATCCCGCTCTGAACCATTTAAACTGTCTCCTGTAAAAAAAGAAGTCAAAGTGGTCCATCTTCACAGTCCATGCTGCAAGATTTGGATCACTCAGGAAACAATTCATTGCCATATAATAAATATTAATATGTTATGTGTCACAAAGATAACCTTCACTTGGATGTGCTATATTGATGATATCCTTTTCAAGACCATTATTAATACCGTTTTAGAGAAATAAGTGTAAGGGAGAAGATAAATAAATTGTTGCATCTTCTCAACAAAATATCAAAAGGTTGCATGCTAACTAGTGATCCTGCTAACTTCTTTGCACTTGTTACATAAGCCAAGTTGAGTGCTCGTCTTTGTGCAACCAGGCAAAAGGAATAGTTTTAATTATCTGCTTTCAAATAATTCAGCATTGGCCATTGGCTAATTTGGCATTGGCCAACAAGAATACTTCTTCTACGTTATTCTCACTAAATTTCACAAGTATTTAATTTCGCAAAAAGTCAAGCGCTATATTTTTCAAGTATTAAATTTCTTGATTTTGAGAGGAAATTAGAATTGGAGTGTATTAACTTCCTCAATTTTTTTCCATTCTTTAATATGTAGCTTTAATTGCCCTCAGAACTGTAACAACATAATTAATATGATCATCATAGTAAACAATAGCAAACGTAACAAAGTTTGACTGACAACTGCACCAGCCAGATTTGAAGAACTTAGCGGCAGAGAACAGTTCTGACAGTGAGAGTGATGCAGTGGAAGATAACTGATGGACAAAATCAAACAAAAATCTCCCAAACATGAAGCCCCGACATGTTGGAATAACAGTAATAAAACAACAGCTTGAAGATTTATTAATTGATATTACATAGGTGTTAAATTTTGAGATTTTAATCTTCACGTGTCCATTATTTTGCCAGTATAAAATTTCACGATTTTTTAAAAATCATGAAAATCCTGAAATTTAGCACTCATGAAATTTAGTGAGAAGAAGGTATATAACAAATCATATTTTGTGGGTTTTCAAACTGAATTGAAATTACTCCATATAGTTTTTTCTTTATATATCCAAGAAATTTAATTCAAATCTTTAAACTTGATAATGAAATAAATGAACCAAGAAATTTAACTAAATTAAATTAATGTGGTTACCCTCTTTTTTGACTTGCGCCTGATGATGCTGTTTTCGGCTGATAAAAACATGGCCACAGGGACATGATTTGCATGCTACAGGGAGCTGAATCAAACAAAACAAATCAAACAAGCTATAGTATCACCAGGGCATCAATGAAATCAAGGGAAGAAGTAGCCTGCAGAACAGGCGTGATTTTTTTGCATATTTTAGGCGAACAAAGGGGAAAACAAGGTGAGTGCAAAGCGCGAGTCGTGCGCGAGGTGAAGAGCTCTTCCCCTCGCTTGCCTTGTTTTCATCTTTGTTCACCCAAAATATGCAAAAAACCACGCCTGTTCTGCAGGCTAGGGAAGAAGAAGAAGGGGTGGAGTAGGAAAAGATAATAATGACAAGCAAAATCAGTACTACACAAGATTTTGTAAATCAAAATAACTTTTGGCAGGCCTTAGTCACTTACTGATCATGCATTGTGTTGTTCCAGAAAATATCCATACCCCTCCCCATAGAGGTTTATCTGGTCTGACCCCTGTTCCTACCACTCAAAAACTTCCAGTCTAGCTTCATATATATACTCCTCTAAAATATGCAGCTTTTGAGTCTCCCCACCCCTCTCAGAATCATCATCATCATTATCATCATCATCATCATCACTTTATTTAAGTGTCCATGTATTTAGCACTAATGTGCTAATTGGGGACACTGTAAATAAATAGACAAATATTTCAAATATAACATAAACTATTAAGAATCCCAACTGGT